GCCCTCAGCAACCGGGCGCCCGCCACGGGGGACAGATTTCTTTGTCGAGGACTCGGAGGATTCCAACAACAAGTCGGCTACTCCTTTTCAGGATGGAAAGAAGAGGAGGGCGAGGTGCGCTCACGGCGCGATGTGAACCCTGCTCGAATCTTGCGGACACCTTGTTCTGTCCCCGAACTCTCGCCTTTCGGTGTCACCAATGACCTCGACGAAGCACAGAAACAGCAGCTGAATGCTATCCGCAGAGCGGCTCCCATGCGCGCGCGTTCACGGTTGGTCCTTGACCCTCGTGTGGAATGCGGCTTCCGCTCGGCGGATCCCGCTACTGAAGTGAAGGATGCGATCACTCGATATTTGGGCGTCTACGTAGTTGATCTCCAGCCAGTACACAAATCGAGCTTGGCCAACGTTTTCCGAGCTTGCTTCTTGGTATCTCACGAAATCCCGATGGACAGGTACCGCGCTCGACTTCGCGCTCAAAGAGGAGGCGCTCATGTACCCGCAATACGGACGACTCCAGTGGTACTCGCCCTTGGCAAAAACGCTGTAGATGATGAAGAGCTTTTTGAAAGATGGATGCAGCGGCATCGGAAACGTTCCTTGCTGTCTAACTTACAGTGGGGCCACAAGGAGGCGGACGTGCGCATGGAACGCCATCTTCGATTCGAATTTGCCAAGCAAACTCTGAACGGTCACAGACGACACTAAAAGAGCGATCGGTGTCAGGCAACGCCAGTATTGGTGCATAAAGGACACTGTCTTTGACCCCGTCAAGAGCCTCCCGATGCTCGGTGTCCCAACACCATTTCGCATCTTCCCAAGGAGATTCGACGATGGCCGTGCCATTTCCGCATAGTTCTAGCTTTACTTGTGCAAGTAGTTGGTGAGGCCAAGTCAATTGCATAAGCCCTTTCAGTTCTTTGGAATCGGCCAGTTCACAATGGTCATGACCTTAGCAGGATCCGCTCGAATGCCACGCTACCCAATGAAGCACACTTCGACGACATCTTTGTCCTCAGTCGTGCGGGGCACGGGAGGGCAGATGAAAGAAACTACATTGTCCATTTGAGAGCGTTGCTCGAGTGCATGCGCACGAATAAGCTGTATGCTAATGCAGATAAGTGCATCTTCGGCGCTGGAGAAATCCTTTTTCTAGGATGTTTGTGCATACGCCCGATGGGGTCTAAATAACTGCGTCACAAGATGTTTAAATGTTGCTGGTGCATTTGCATACGCCCAATGGGGCCTGAACAACTGCGTCACAAGATGTTTAAATATTGCTGGAACATTTGACAGCCCTTGGAAAACCACCAGGGTGAGTACTTCAAGTGGCATGCACTCCCAGAGCATGCCACTTGAAGTACTCACCCGCTGTCAGCCGAATATCACTCGCTCTCATGAGCAATGGGTCATACCTTCCGATCTTCGAGTGACTTTACTTTGTACACCCAACCATATTGTATTGTTTCGGAGAACTTCACTTTCTTGAAATCGGCGTATATGTCGGAATGGTGGCGGCATTTAGCTTATTGTGAGCGTGAACGATACGCCACTTGCCGATCGGCATCTGGACACAAAACGTGGGTGTTGAAAGGGGAGACTTGCTCTCACGCACCATTCCTACCATGTGCTTTGCACAGAAAAAGGCGTCAATGAACTCACACTGCTCCTTGGGCAGGGTCCATTGGCGTGTTCGCATTACATGGTCCCCGGAACAAAATCGATTCCATGACGCACAGGTAGACCGACGGCGAGTCTTTGGAGACGACCCCCTGAAAATACTTCACCAAAGGATAGTACGGATTCGTGGGATTCTTTAGGATCGAAGACCAACTTCGTTCGTTAAGCACCCTCTTGATTTCCTCCAGGACAACTTAATCCAGTAGCGACGATGGGTGATCTCCCCTTCCGGTCGTATAATGACCACTTCATCTCAGTCGCATGCCTTCGAGATACCGCCGAACTCCTTAAAAGACATCTTGGCCAGCTCAAGAAGAGTATTCACTCTAGTAATAGGCTCAAGGGCGATGTTGCCGTCTTCCTCTTCCGCCATACCGCTGTCAAGGTTATATAGCTGTGCGCTATCGCCTACGGTAGACACACCCCGAGTTAGGATCTACGCCCGGCGTCTTGCAGATAACATACGGCGTCGCCGTTTCTATCCACCGATGTTTACGTCTCGACGAGACCAGTGGGAGCATGCACTCAGCGCCGTCTAGTGCCCCCACTCCCTGCTCCATCGGAGCCTTGATGTCATTAACAACATTTGACGGAGAGCTGCTAGTTCCGCAGCCTTCGTTCAGTGGGTAACGTGCCACTCACACGCATCTAAAGGGTCTTGCCTAAGACTATTCAGACCTCGTCCGACCATGCCACGTTTGGCATGCAGCAACTACGTTGAAACGTGAGTAGTGCTTACTGGATTACGTGCCACTCCACGCGCATCACTGGGGCCTCGCCCTCGATGTATCGGTCCTTGGCCGACCATAGCATGAAGGCATGCAGCGACTGCCTCTATGCTTGAGCAGCGCTCAGTTGGTTAGGTGCCACTCCATGTTCAGCCCGCGATCCACGCTCGGGACTCCTGTCCACTACACTTTTGGTGTTCGAGAACTCAGATACTTTGATCTCCAGCACGTTTACGGTCCCGGATCAGTGCCCGCGCCAATAGCGCTTCTGCTCCTAGCAGAGGTGGGCTTATGACTCACCAAAGCTCCACCAAGAGACAGGCGCGTAGCGCTCAGGATCTTTGACTTCCAATCGATCCATGGATCATGGTGTTCTAAGCATGCCATTCCACGGATGAAGTCATACCATAATTTCAGGTTTGAGACTAAACGGCGTTCCACGCTGTCAAAGTCACGAAGCTTGACGCCGAGGTCCACAAAGATCCTCGGCACCGTGACATAAGTCCTCATCGCTAAGCAAACAGTAATGGCGGTACTTAGCTGCGCTTTCGGCGCCTCAGCATACAACTGACTTCTTTAGCGTCGAGCATTATTGCCCTATGCCCCAGAGTCGATAGGAATTTTCCATAACTTCTCAAAGCCTTTCACGGTCGCTTTCACCTCCAATCAAGTCTGGTTTGCATACGCGTTCCGTCTTTAAAGCGCACGGAGTTCTCTGAGACTGGTCCCTGATGCCCTCCACCTCTTTGAAGCTCACCAAAACTTATTTTTTTTCCAGTAGGGAGCCCCGCGACAAAGCAGACTGGTAAGAATCGGGACGTCGGTTCGATGACTCTTGACACGCCTTGACCAGTGGACAACCAGTCTGAAAGTGTCGGGGGTCTCCAAAGACAAAACGCTTTCGGGTATTCGAATGCTGCCCGGCAACTCGGAGCTCTGCCCTTTCTTTCTCAGCATAGCTGAGATCCATTGGCTCAGGTTTGCCCGACGGGCTATGAGGATATGCATTCGAATCAAGTCGCGCCGATGTAAATTTGAATTCGGCATTCATTGCCACATTCATTGCTTTTCTAAAAAAGACGGTGCATACGGAAGACTTCCATTCTGGCCACGCCAATGCGGAGGCCCTCCATAAATACGGTCACTGTGACCTCCTCGGGAAGAGAATCGGCTGCCATACCGGCAATGAGAGTACGCAACGCTTGAACAAAGTCCATCAATTCCTTCTTGCCCTGTCGGGCGGCATGGAAACGCGAATGCACGCGATATGCCTGGTTAGGCGGCGAGAACACTCGCAAATGCTGACGCTTCAGCTCCGTCCAGGAGGGAAACGCCGTTTCAACCAAAATGCCACACGTCATTGGCGATTCTCGCGCTCGACACCCGAGCTTGGAGATAGCTAAA